ACCCGAAACGTCAGCCTTCCTGCTCCTCTGATGCTGCCTGGCCTGCTGTGTTCATCCAGCTCTACACCTTGTTATCTCAGATTCTCCAGCATCGGCAGTTCCTACTCTCTCCTCTGTCAATCTTTTTGCCATAAACTCTGTTTCTTTATCACTGGTTCCACCCATCCCTGACTACAGCCTCAGGGTGAACTGGTTTAGCAATTACAATATGCTCTTTGACAAGAGTCGAATTTCCAAATACACCAAACTAAATGTCTGCTCATCTCCTTCTTATCCACAACAGTCTTCCTTAAAGTCTCACCTTTCTGACCAAGTGTTTAACCCTGCTTCCTAGCGTTTCATTCCCTGGCTCAACTTGTTCTTCCAAGCCCTTTGTGAAGTTTCTTTACCCTAAAAGTACTAAATAAGGAAAAGCTACTTTTGTTATCGACTTGAAGTGTTGGAACCTCTGAATCGGATCATATTTGCTACAACAGCATTTCTACTGTGACTTTAAATGCAGGAAAAAATGACTCAAAGCACTTAACAAACCCTGCAGAGAACCTCATAACGCAGTCAGTTATAAGGTTTCTGTGAGTAGAGCAGATATTTCATGGAATGCAGGTTATATAGTCCAGAAGAGAAACCTGTAGACCCCATCACAGATGCTGCTATGACTATGAAGGTTATAAGTACTTTTTATTGTCTAGTTACCCTATGCATCATTTGCAAAATTGATACTTACAGTTAAAGAGTCTCCCATTGCTGCAACAACATTAATGTCAGCAGGTCGAAGCCTGTGGACTATAGGACATAAAAAAACAGAGACATTACAAATGAACAGAAGGTGGAAAAATAATGCAGAAGTTTCCAGTTTGAAACACTTGCTATTAGTTATATGTATATTTAGGTTAGAACATAGAACACAGAACATAGAACAGTACAGCACAGTACAGGCCCTTCGGCCCACAATGTTGTGCCGCACTTTTACCCTAAACCCAAGATGTATCTAACCTCCACCGCTACCTTATACTATCATCCATATGCCTGTCTAATAGCCACTTAAATGCCCCTAATGAGGACGACTCCACTACCCTCTCTGGCAATGCATTCCACGCCCCCACCACTCTCTGAGTAAAGAACCTACTTCTGACGTCTCCCCTATATCTACCTCCACTCACTTTAAAACTATGCCCCCTCGTAATAGCTACCTCCACCCTAGGAAAAAGTCTTATGCTGTCTACTCTATCTATACCTCTGATCATTTTGTACACCTCTATCAAGTCACCTCTCATCCTTTGTAGTTCTAAAGAGAAAAGCCCTAGTTCTCTCAACGTTTCCTCGTAAGACCTTCCCTCCATTCCAGGCAACATCCTGGTAAATCTCCTCTGCACCTTTTCCAACGCTTCCACATCTTTCCTGTAATGAGGTGACCAGAACTGGACACAATACTCCAGATGTGGCCGAACCAGGCTTTTGTATAGCTGGAGCATAACTTCACGGCTTTTGAAATCAATCCCTCTATTAATGACGGCTAACACACCATACGCCTTCTTAACAACTCTACCTACCTGGGTGGCAGCTTTCAGGGAACTGTGGACATGAACCCCAAGATCCCTCTGCTCCTCCACACTGCCAAGAATCTTTCCATTAACCCTGTATTCTGCTTTCAAGTTTGTCATTCCAAAATCAATCACTTTGTAAGGGATTGTAAGGGATTGGTTAGCTTGGATGGTTGATTTGCAATGTGGAGTGATGCTAACAGCATGGGTTCAATTCCCACACCAGCTGTAGGCCTGTCATTCTCAGCATCTCCCCTTCACTTCAGGCATGGTGACCCTCAGGTTAAATCTCTAATGAGACAGAGCAGCTCTATTGTCTGTAGCGACTTTACATTTACATATGTTGAAACAGCAGGCTGTGGAAGTACATGTAAGAGATACTATAGTTAAATACATGCTGACAAAGACTACTTGAAAGCAATGTGGGAAGGAATCTCTACTTGATTTGGACTGTTTAGCAAATACAGTTTTCATGATTATCAGAGTTCATGAAATAAATACACAACTTATGTGCATTACAAATGAGGATAATCATGGTTTTCTTAGAAGAGACTTCAGTGTTACCAGCATTGCTTCGAGGAACCAATCTGAAACCTTCACCAAAATTCCAGATTGGTGTTAATGTCATCAGTCCATTCCACAAACCCCCATCCCCTATGATCTGTGCAGTCCACAGCTATTGTCTCAGTCTGAATCACAACCAACTCAGTACAAAGGGGACATCTCTGTCGCAGAGATCCCACTTTCAATAAATATCATCTCTCCTGTCTCATTGCATATGCTGCTGAAACACATCTACTAGTCTGTAATTACTCCATTATTCTATACATAAACCAACTGAACCCCCTTCAATTAGATTCCAATCTGTAATCACTCCCAGGCATTCACTTTTCTGAACGTAACCCATCCGAATCCCTCAATTAGATTCCAGTCCGCAACCTCTCTCAGGTACGTATTGTTATATGTAGAAACCATCTGAACCCCTCAATTAGATTCCGGTCCATAATCTCTCCCAGGTACGTATTGTTCTATAAAGAAACCTCCTGAATCCCTCAATTAGGTTCCAGCCTGCAATCATAACCAGATACTCATTATTCTATTGTATAAGCTATCACAGTCCTTCAGTTTCTTTGTTCTTACATGATTGCACCTAAATATCTACATCCCTTTATTTGGCAAATTAACTGAAATTTGATCACAAGTTGTGCAAATGTGAAGGTCAATACCAAAAGCAAGGCCCCAAAATTGGTAAATGTGGAATAAGATAAACTAGATTACTTTTACTGACCTGAAGTCGGAATAGTTTCGGATGTTAAGTTTTCTGAACAGAAGAGATTGCTGCCCCAATTCTGAAAGAAAAATCTCTCTGTACCTTAGTGGGCCTAGGTAGGAAAATCCAGTGATTAAGGTGCTTCTATTATACGTAATACCTTTACAGAACAGTACTCTTCAAATCAGAATACTTTGAGGGGATTAATTGCAGAAGATGTGATATCCATTGATTGTTTTCAGAGGATTTCTGATGAAGTGCCATATGTGAGACTTTTAGAAGTGGTTTCACAGTTCAAATTAGTGGCAAACCAAACTGTTGTATTAAATACTACCTTTGAAATAAAATGTGAAATGCTTATATTTGAGGCGGTGATTAGCTGTTATTATAGATTAGAATGGTACTTTTAAATGGTTTCAGTTTTCTCTGTCCCACTCCACAACAGTTCATCCTTCTAATGACAGGTTACCGCAGAACACACGATTGTTTAACGTGACATACCTCAGGAAGTTTGATAGATGGGTCCGAACCTTGGTAAGTATAGTTGCTGTTCTTGAATGTTCTAAGAAAGGGTTGATCCTGTAGTGACAACATACAATACCAATTGCTCATGAATACTTTTAATTGCAAAAATATATGCATTATTTAATATAAATTCAGCAATAGTAGACATCTCATTTTAAGAAATGCAGCCAGTCCCTTGCTGGAGATGATTTCACTGCGCTTAGCAGCCATTTGGAATACTTTGGTACCTTCTACAAGACTTTTATTTTTTGAATCAATTTCACAAAATTCATTCTCCTAATAAACTCTGTGAACATTTGATCATAGTGCAAAATGGACAATCTCAACCATCCAAAGATGGTTTTACTCTTCTACTCCCGGAAGAAGGACCCCTGGAAGCGTAACACTAACTCTGCTTTCTCTCCACTGACCTGCTGAGTTTCTCCAGCAATTTGCTATCATTCCAGATTTCCAGCGTCTGCAACTTTTTTTTTGGTTTTGGCTTTACTCTTCCCTGGATTATGATGCGGGGCTTCGGGCTGAGCTTTGAGTTGGCCTGACCCAAAGGCAGAGTTTCTGTTCAGAATTCATGTGGCCCTGGGGAAGTGGGGAATTTGCCAACCCTTCGTATGGGATCCTAACTGTAAAATGTATTTCTGGCTGCACGGGTCGGTTCTGTGGGCTGGGATCCGGCCTCTGGTCAGTGCCAGCTCCACCAGCAAGCGACTCTGTGCCATGAACGAATGTACAATTCTTACCTGGGTTGGACAACTCAGCGAGATATTTGCTGTAAGATCTTGAAAATCAGATTTTTTGCCCACAGGCTGCAACTGGAGAGAGAAAGAGAAAAAAAAACACAGTTCAACATGATTTATCTTCTATCCTTCTCTGTGTGTTGGCACACATGGCCATTCTCACAGCAAGATAGCAGCCCAATGAATTCAGAGGTGGTTTTAGCTTTAGAAGCTGTGCGGTTGGCCTCTTGCGGGAAGAAGCTGCACTTGATTGGAAGAAGCTTGAATGGAAAGTGAGTAAATACTGATGTGCTCAATCCATTGGCCATGCCGAGGACTCGTACCAATTTGTAGGCGTCCCAGAGAAAGCCTGTCTGACAGATCTCTCTCCGAGTGACATGCAAGTGGGCCTGGACCTCAAACAATTGGAGGTCTCATGATAGCCTCATCTATTTTTAATATAAACCAAAAGAATTACTGATGCTGTAAATCGGAAACAAAAACAGAACTTGCTGGAAATGCTCAGCAGGTCTGACAGCATCTGTGAAGAGAAATCAGAGTTAACGTTTTGGGTCTGATGGCCCTTCCTAGGAACAGTTCTGAGGAAGGGTTGTTGGACACGAAATGTTAACTCTGGTTTCTCTTCACTGATGCTGTCAGACCTGCTGAGCTTTTCCAGCAAGTTCTGTTTTTGTTTCATCTTTTTTTAAAAGTCATTGCTGACAAAGCCACTCCTAGCTGCCTATCCCTTGAGAAGTTGATGGTGAACCAACACAGTCCCTGTGGTGCAGGTACATTCATAATGCTTTCCTCCAATTCAGCATCAACCACATTATTATGGATCTGGAGTCACATGTAGGTCAACCTCCTCTCTGAAGGGCATTTATGAATTATATTTACAACAACATCCCAGTAGTTTAACAACCATTATTATTGAGGTTAGATCTTTATTCCAAACCAGCATGGTAGGATTTGAACTCATACCTCCACAATATGAGCCCAGGCTTCTGGATTACCAGTGCAGTGACATTGCTACCAGGTTATAATCTGCTGTTCGATTTAATAATTATCAAAAAGCAGGTATGTTAGAAATTGCTGCTCTCCATTTGTTTTCAATGGAAAACAGCCTGGATTATGTTCAAAGCATTGACTGGGATTGAGACTCACATATAGTAAGAAGCCAGTTCCCTGCAGTTGATACTGTACAATACCTCTGTGGTCTTGGTTTCGAATTGTGTTGGGTTCTGAATGACGTACTGGAAACTTCTTGTTAACCGGTCCCCATGGGATAAGGAGTGTGCTGGTTGATCAAGTATTCCAGAAGACCAAGAGGCATGCATAGCCGCAGTAAACCCTGACCTAGCGAAGCTTTGAGATATCAACATCCCTCAAAAAAAAATCTATCTAAAAACATCAACACACCTCCTACAATCAATTCAAAATCACACAATAAGTAATAGAAATGTAATGCAGGGGGTATACACATCACTGTTATACTTGATTTACAGCATAAATACGCAGTAGATTGCGATATTTGAGGTATATAATTTTTGCCAAGAGTTTATCAAGAGTGCTGGTTGATAAGGTGCCGGTTAAAACAAAGCTTGCTGTATGTGTATATTAATGAGGCCCTCTGGGGGTTCAAATAACAGCCAATGGGAATATGAAGCAAATGGGATTTAAATCCACTGCTGAGAGCCATAGCTCAGTTGGGTGTGTGCTTTCCTCTGATGCAAAAGATTGTGAGTTGAGCTCCACTCTGGAGCCTAGAGTACTTGGGTACAGACTGAAGAAGTGCTGTTTGTTGAAGATATTGATGTAGGATTAAATCAGCCTTCTCTTCTAACATGAGGCTAGGTGGCGCCTTCTTAATAGGCGATAGGTTTAGGTACAGGATCTGGATCAGCGCAGGCTTGGAGGGCCGAAGGGCCTGATCCTGTCCTGTAATTTTCTTTGTTCTTTGTTCTTTTTCTTTGAGACTGTGCCAACCAACAACTTGGGAGTCATCAGGTTTCAGATAGAGCATTCATGTTCATTTCATCTGGAATTACAAGTAAATCTAAGTTTCTTTTTGAAGCTACATAAGGACGTTCCTATTCTCTACCCATAATTATTTATTTATTGTAATTTGTGCCTACTAACATACTGCAGCCAGTCCTCTCCCACCCTCAATATTGTTGTGAAATGAACGGCAAAACGCCGAGCCCCTTATACATGTGAACAGCTGGGCATTCACCTTGTTGTGGGCATTTACTTCCAACCCTAAGAGATGTATTTGTAAATGTATCGTAATATTTGTCCTCTTGTGTCACTGGTGCTAATAACTCCTATTACCATGCTAATGACAATCTCAAGACCACTTATCCCTAATGAAAAGCAGATAGCTTGGAATCTTGTCAGATGGAAATGTTGTCATATCATTAAATAACTGTGTAGCAGTGACAGGCTCTTAGTGATTTTGATTGAGTTGCTAACAGGATACTGGAATGTTTATGGCTGATGCATGTTATTTACATTACTCAAAGACCAGAAGGAGCTTTGTTTCAAATATAGTCCCCAGCACAGTTATAAGTGTTTTCCTATTTCTTAAATTGGTTTAAAATATAATGGTTATATGCATAGAATACAAATAGGAATGATACAGACCTTCAATACTATGACACTTCAAGATAATTGATCACTAATGGCCTTGAGAGCATTTTAATATTCTATACTTCACATTTGCATTATGAATGTTATTCATTACAATATGACACTTTAGCCTGCCTTTGTGCCTTTATGCCAACAGATTTAATTGTTTCCCAAAGTCAAGTAGTTTCTGAAAACCTCTTGCATTGTAATTGAAGAATGAAAATATGCCATTCAGCCCACTAACCTATACAATGTTCAGTGATATCACACTAGATCAGAGATCTAACTGCAAATACCTTTGTTTGTCTTATGTTCTTTCTTACCTTTGGATAATGTAATGTAAGATGTGTGATTTAGATTTTTAATTGCATTTATTTTAGAGTTTGGTTATTAAAAAAACTGGCATGTTGATTTTGGTCTGTATGTATGAAGAGGTAATAATTAACTTGTCAGCCTTCCTGGATCCATGGTTTTAATTAAATTAATATGTTTCAGTGACTAACTGGCTGGATGTTCTCCCTCGGGGAGGAGGGTGGGGGAGAGAGGAGGAGAGATAGTGTGATTTTATTTACATATGAGAAGTTTTGTTTAATGAAAACCAAAAAAGTGGAAAGTTTTTGGATCAGTTTACAGAAGACCTGGATAGGTTAGCTGCAAGAACAGATTCTCCTGTGAAAGGAGTTAGTTCATAAAAGTTAGTTTGAATGTCCCAGAGCAGAACTGTTTAAGAAACCTGAAGGCATATGAAACTCAGAAAATTTAAACTCAGTTGTGTGAATAATCAAGGAAAAGACTGCCAAGTTCTCAAGACCAGGAATTGAAAGAAACAGTTAAGTTAAAGTGATCTGATAGAAACGGTAACTCTCTCTGGTATTTGAGTCCTGTAGAGTGGTGGTGTTGGGATAGATGAGATTTTATTTTGCAGTGCATTTTGGAATATTTTAAATTGTAAATAGCTTGGTTTGTTCTATTTTAATTTCATTTCTTTTGTGTCATAACCTGCTGTTTTATTGTTGAAACCAAACTTGCAGCATTACATGCAGGGGAGGTTAATGGTGTTATCGCTGGACTGTTAATCCAGAGACCCAGATAATGTTCTGGGGACCAGGGTTCGAATCCCACCACAGCGGATGGTGGAATTTGAATTTAATAAATATCTGGAATTAAGAATCTAATGATGACCATGAATCCATTGCTGATTGTTGGGGAAAAACCCATCTGGTTCACAAATGTCCTAAAGGGAAGGAAACTGCCATCCTTACCTGATCTGGCCATAATAACTTAGGGGGAAAAAAAACAAAATATGATCTAGCAAGCCTGATGTCAGTATGGGATCTGACTTGTGCAGCAGTAAATCAGGTGGATTCATAACAAGTGGGGACTCATCAGGCATTTGAATTCATTAGATTCAAGAGAGATCTGTGTCATTCTTTTAAAACCACCATATTCACCTGTCCTGCCACCTTCAGGGGTCTGTGGACAAGCACTCCAAGATAACTCTGTTCCTCTGAACTTCCGAGTATTTTAAATTCATTGGTACTCCTTTGTCTTTTTCTTTCTTCTAAAGTGCATCACTTCACATTTTTCAGGGTTAATTTCTAACATCCACTGATCTGCCTATGTGACCAATCTGTTTATATCCTCCTATAACTTAACACCTTCCTTCCTACTGCCAACCACTGGCCCATCTTTGTGACATCTGCAAACTTAGTTATCACCACTCCCACATTCTCACCTACAATATCACAAACAATGAGGGAACCAGCACTGATGTCTGTGGTACACAACTGTATGCTGTGGGCTCCACAAACAGCCTTCTACCATCTCCTTCTGCTTCCGATCATTAAACCAATTTTGGATCCAAATTGCCAAGTTACCCTAAGCTTTTACCTTCTTCATCAGTTTCCCATGTGGGACCCTGTCAAAGGCCTTGCTGAAATCCAGATATATACATCAAATGCCCTCCCCTCATCCAAACACTTGACCACCTCCTTGAAAAATTCAACTAGATTTGTTAGACATATCTCTCTGAGAAAGGCAAGGGCATGAGCTTTGCAATATGTCCAACAAAAATGGCATTTTGTCAAATGCTTTTTGAAGGCCAAAATATACCTTTTTTTTGTCTTTTCACTATTTATGACCATCTCTCGTGGTTCCCTAACTTTTGGTAGGACGTGAATTTGTTTATTGCTATAGATACAGTAATTCACACCCCTGTGGATCTACTGTGCCTGAATTCCCAACTGGCTCTCTGGATTTTTAAGCATTATGTCACCTAGCCCATGGTATCAGGCTCACTGGCCAGTGCCAATGAAGGGGCTCCAAAGTGAGAGAGATTTTTGTTGCATAGCATCAAATAATGACAACCTGCATTTATTTAACCTCTTTAAACCAGTACAACATCCCAAAAACCTTCGAAGGAGTGTCATCAAACAAAGCCTGACACTAAACCTCAAAAGGGGTTGTTAGTATTTATGGCCAAAAACTTGGTCAAGGAGGTAAGATTTTAGGTAATGTCTTGAAGAGGAAAAGAGAGTCAGAGCAGCCTGGAGGTTTGCGAAAGGAATTACAAAAGCTTAGGGCCTAGACAGCTGAAAATACAATGACTAGGATAGAGCAGTTACAATCAGGGACAATCCACAACAGAATTGGAGGAGTGTAGAAATCTTGGGAAGGTACAGGGCTGAAGGACATTCAGAGATGAAGAGCAGCAAGGCTTTGAGGGATTTAGAAATGTTGAGAATGAGATTTTTTATACATTGAGGCAGTGCCAGTGCAGGTGCGCGTACAAGTCAATGAATTACTTACCATGTTATTCCAGAGAGATCTTGACATCTGCATGTGGAACTTCCTGCTTAAATGGAAACAGTCAGGGGCAAAGTATGAGACATCGGGGTGTTCATTCTGAAATCCAAACAGAAAGGACATCAGGAGTATGTGATGGAGGAGGCCAGACAGTGACAGTAGACAAGTTACAGTGTTTCCTCAGAAAGAGACATATAAATGTTATCACTTACATCTAAAATTGGGACTTCCATATGCCGAAGGAAAGGCTGTAACACAACTGTGAAGTTCTCTCCAGTATCATACTTGCCCGATTCAATAAGCTTTTGGATGCTTTGCTGAGGTGGGAGGGGTAAGAGAAATATAGGAATAAGTACCAGTTGCTTATCGAATAAACAAATCCTATGATGATCAAAAACAGAAGTTGCTGGAAAAGCTCAGCAGATCTGGCAGTATCTGTGAAGCAAAAATCAGACTTAATGTTTCGGGTCCAGTGACCCATTCCGAGGAAGGATCACCGGACCCAAAACGTTAACTCTGATTTTTTCTTCGCAGATGCTGCCAGACCTGCTGAGCTTTCACAGCAACATCTGTTTTCGTTCCTGATTTACAGCATCCGCAGTTCTTTCGGTTTTTAAATCCTATGATGATGCTTTGCTCCATTTACTATTCACTGTGGAATTGTGGATTAAAAGGCATTCAGAGGATGGTTCCTCTGTTTGAATATGTTTATATTCATACGTGCTTATGTTGAAATAATTTTAAAAGTGAAATCTCGGCCGTAACAATATCTTAACTATAATCCTTTAAACATTTTTTGGCATCTTTTAAGTAATATCTGAAGCTGAGAAAAATGTTAATTCACTTTGAGATGACTTGTTTCACAGGGTGAGGATGTCAGTCAAATAATGAGTCTTAAATGTCAGAGTCATTGGAGGAGGACATCTGCAAAACCATCAGCTGAAACTCAAGATCAGCAACAACACCATCACTACAGCAGGACAACAGCAACACTGTCAATGCACTGGGACAGCAACAACACCGTCACTACA